GAGTTTTTCCAGGGGCTCCAGTCACTTCAGCCCTTTCCAGCTCTTTATCATGTTGTCTCCAGCTATACTCTGGCCCTTGTATTTATTGATTGCTTTCCTTCCAAATCAGGCTGACATTAGCAAACATATTTTTGATTAATTATGTTTACATTCCTTTCTTCTTAGAGTGTTTCAAATCACTGTCTAGTATTGGTTTCCAGTTATGCCTGGAATGAGCTCAGCAATGTAGAAGTTACTACGCTTGTCATACAGGGGCATGGTGATGGTGCTGTTGATAGTTATCACTGATCTATCCTGAACTCCTGGTTGATGCTTACTGACTGCCACATTCGTCTGTCGTTAACTCATTACACTCTTCATTTTAAGAAGCATTCAGAAGTTCAGTAGGACATCTTAATTCTCTGAAAAGGAACTAAAAATGTATAGGAGTTGCTAAAAAAGATCAATATTAGTTGCATACAACACATTTCTGAACATGTTATTTGCTTTCAAAATTTTGGTGTGCTAAAATAAAACCCCATCATTTATCCATCGTGACTTATTTTTAATTGCTCTCAGCACCAGACTTGGTGTCACTTCATCTTCTTCTGCTACAGTCATCTCACTAGTCCTTCTGAGCTTTCCTTTGTTGGTGAAATATTCCCCCCCAAATCACATGAGTGAATCCCCACAGAAAATCAACCTTAAACCTGTCTTTAGGCTTGCATGATGAAAGAATGTCACATAAACACAAACCCCCTAATAATCACTGCCAGAATCAGTCAACTTTTGTAAATTAACTTAGAAGCTGCCTTTCAGCTCTTCTGGGATTTCGTACAGCTTTTCCCTCTTCAACAATCTCCCTGGGGGCTCCCCTAGAACAACTGGAATTGTATAGGCTTGGCAATTCACTACCCCTTTACCACGCACTATGGTGCATCAGTGCTACCCTGTGCCATCGGCAGATTTTTTTAAGCATTGCGTGAAAGCATCCCTGAAAGCTGCTTGCAGACTCCTGGTGAGGCCAAGGCATGGCTGCAAGGAAGGCAGATCAAGGAGCCGACCATGTTCCCAACACTTCCCGAGATCACATTTGAGAAGGAAGGTGGTTATAAGCAGTACAAGATGAGGTCATTGCTTGTAAAATGCTTCATAAGATCCGAACTATCGATCGTTCTTATCTATTAACAGGTGATTTGCTACAAGCCATCAGCAGAGTCCCCAAACAGCCTCTGTAAGAGAGATTTGGTTAACTCTGTATCTTATATTTTTAGGATGCATTCTTCAAAAATCAATATAGACATATAAAGAACAGGATCTGTGGAGCAGACGATAATGTGCAATTACATATAAATTCATTACAGACAAAAAAAAAGAACCACATTCACTTGTTACAAGATTCTGTAAACTTCATATATAAGCACTGCCCTCTACTGCTCAGGGATTTTCATTAATGCACATTTAATTAAAAAAAAAAGTTTCAACACTGTTCTTTTTAATTAAAATGTTTGTATAGGCTTGCCTGTAAGAAAAGGGCTCTGGATCTTTTTCCTTAAAAGAAAAATCCTAATCTGTCATTTTTGACAAACATAAACCACCTGTGTTCTTATGTTAAGGTGGAGGACTTAAGTTTTGTCAAGCACATAGTTTAGAATAAGCTGCTTGCATCTTCTTAGGCAGAAAGGTGGTAGAGGAAAACACATTTTCAAGTAATTGCACCTTTCAAAACTAGCCTTAAAATCCTTCATTCTGAATTGTGACCACAGGAAGGCAAAGGAATAGAAAGATTTCGAATTGTGAGGATGCGATGGTAGCAAAAGAGTCAGTGTTTATTCCCAAAGTGAAGGCAATGCAATCTATTCAAGCTGTCTTGGGTAAATTCTTGTTGCTATTTATCTGTTAATTTTATGGTACATTTTCTTAAACATTGTAAGGTGCAAAACACATGTATGAGAGCAAGTTGGAAAAGACACAGAAATACTGTTAATATAGTCACGGCATGACTGCAAGGGCTAAGAGGGCTATCACCCTCTTTACAGGGAACTGCTGTTGTGCCCCTGTGTGACGTACTCCAGCGTATTTGACATCACTTACATCTGGACAGTCTTCTTTTCGAATATGATTATGTTCATTTCTGTTGTTATATCAGGAGAAATTAAAGAAAAAATCATGGATGCAGTAGCAAAGGTAGTGTAGCAAAATAGGAGGATTGCAAGCGTTCTGTCATAGGAGTCAAGATGTCATGACCGGTACTGTGCTAGGTTTTAACAAGATCACAAGGCTTGGTTATTATTTCTTTTTTTTTTTTTTTTTTTGGGGGGGGGCAAACAGTTAGTTTCTGGAGGAAGTTTGAGTTTAACTTTGTCTCTTTCCCTGGTGACTCCCACTTACAAAGATGAAATTTGGACGGCTTAGCCAATACAGAATTTCAGCACAAAACCAGCCAATCGGGGGAACGAAGCATTAGAAATGGCCTCTGTGTCAGGTGGGGCCACTTACACCTTGGAAGGGTTTCTGCTTCTTTGAGGAAGACCTCTGTATTGCCTAGAAGAGAAGGGGGTAGCTTGAAGCTTGTGGTGTTGGGAGAGTTTTAGTTTTTGGAAGTGTTTTGGGGTGGTTTTGTTTAGCATATTGCAGGTAAATTTCTCTTTTGTTTTTCTTGTGCTAATCATAGGGAATTGTTGATATTAGCTGTGATGTTGCTTTGGAAGTGTATTACTATGTGGGTGTAAGGAGTGGATTGTGGGAGACTATTGGCTGTTAGTGGTGTTGCAACTATTTAAAATACCAATTCGATTTGGAGAGCCTTGTTAGCCAGGTTAATAGATCTTCTGCAGAGCATATAAATATCTTTAATGCAGGTAAACCATAATGGGTTTCTTCATAAACAAAAGATAAATGCACTTGTTCTCCTGTGTTGCATCTCTTATTTAAAAAAAGCTTGATTAAGCTGTTAAGCTTTTGGGTGGAAAAACTAATTTTCTTTCTTTGTGTTTTGCTGTGAAGCTTGCTCTGATGTGTATTTCCTAAGTAGAAGTAGGCTAAGATAAGTCAATCACCTTTTAGGTGGAAAGCAGCATTTGTCATAGTTTAAGAATAACAGCTTTTGTTTTGTTAGGGCCCAAGATGAGAGCAACACTGATACTGTGGAGCTTTGAGTGATGAGCAAGTCTCTCTGTTGCTTCTCTGTGTTCTGAGAGCAAAATTTGCTGTGCAGGCTAAAAAATTGCATGCTCATAAGTTTGCTTATCTTGCAAATTCTGCTGTGTGTCAGTGACTAAGAGGGGTTTTTTCTTTATGGATTTTTCTTTATAGCGACATAGTTCTTGAGTAACTATTGTATTAAGTAAAGCACAGTTTCTAAAACAAACTTTTAGAGCCTTCTTTTCCTACAACTCTGGTTTCTGTGACTATGATTATAGAAGAAAATTCTTGTTGCTGATGAACTTTCTCTTTCTTGCTACCTTTTACTGTGAGAGGCATGTGGCTGAGCAAGCTTGCTTTTGCTTTTAACGTCTCACTAAATGTGTAATACCTCTAAAGGATGGATTTGTTAACTCTGGCTACAGGTCGTGCAACTAAAATGCCCTCTAAGTTTTTTCCCCTAAATGTACTGCAGCACTTAACTAGAGGAATAGTACTTCAGAGATGCTCGTGGCCTGAGTGCCTCTTAATGGTCTCTGTGACTGTGTTTACTGCAGAGTAGCTGCTATACAGGTGATCTCCAGTTGATTGTTTTTTACAGCGTGCCTATTCAAAAGAGTGCACTGCAGTAATTATCTATTATCTTAATAATGTGGTGTACCAGCTTTAAAACACTATGTCTTTTTTTTTTGGGGGGGGGTATGATATATATATATATTTCTAATTTAATATTTGCCTGTGTACTTATAATGCTTAGCTCTGATAGCCAGTAGATAGTTAGCATTTCCTTGGGATGAATTGACCTACTGAGTTAGGTGGTGAAGGGATTTTCAGGGCACTTAATTTAAAAAAATGGATTTGATTGCACCTACCACTTAATCACATGTGTAGTGACTTCACTCTAAAGGAATTCCTTTGGAACAATTAGTTAAATTGATCCTGATTCTCAGTTGTGTAATTGGAGGACCTTTTGAAAGTGTATTTGCCAGCCACATAGAAAGTATTAGAAGCAGTAGCTGAGTTGCGGTTTAGCTTACTCGTGCAGGGAAGGGCTATTTCCTTAAGTAGGATGAGGGCTTGGATAATCGGGCACTCAGTAACTTCTTTAATTTCACTCTTCCTCTTGCACAGAACTACCACAGGCAGAAAATGCCTTTATCTTTGATTTAAGGGCACCTCCCTATATAAACTGGACCTAATTATTTTAGACTGTGTCCTGGAGAAGTTTTCTTTTATAGAGATTTTTTTATATATTCACTGTTTAATTAGCATAATAAGGTTATGACAAATCTACTGATATTCTGTGTAGTGTTTGGCTGTAAACTGAACATTATGAGACACTATTTGTTTGGGTGTGGCTGTTCTCTGCTTTGTTATGGCATGCCTTCTTAAATCTGTTGTTAGAAAAAAAAAAAAGCAGGGTCTTTTTAATGTTAATTTAAAGGCTGAGCAAAATGACTGGGGATTTATCACACAGATCAGATGCCAAAAGCTGGGTTCGTTCAGCTAGGGTGGCAGCATAGGTTTTGCCCTCCCCCTCCACTATCTGTTCCTGCAAGCATCTCTCCTGTGAATTGGCAGAGGGGCTCCGAAAGTGCTAGTCTCTTCCCTTCAGGCACTAGCGAGGACTCAGCAAAAGTTGAACAGCAAAGTACAGAAGCACCACATCTCTGATTGGGCTGCAGTGCTGAAACAAGCTCAGCTTTGTGGAGACCAGGAGCTTTCTGGAATATGCGTGGGGATGAGGAACAAATAATGCAGGGTGAGTGCTGCCTGACACCAGGAATCCAGCTGACTGCTCTGGGTTATCTCATCCTCTCTTTCAGAGCAAGAACATGGGGGACGTGACACCAACAGAGGAGCTTGAGCTCAGGGCAGCTCGCTGCCAGCTGTTTGAATCCTGCATGAGGAATGAAGCAAGAAGATTGAGGACTTTTCGGCAATGGCCAGGCAACTCACCTGTGTCTGCCCGAGATTTGGTCAAGGCTGGCTTTTTCTTTGTGGGTCCAAGAGATGAAGTACAGTGTTTCTGCTGTGGTGGTGTCCTGAAGGACTGGGGACCTGGTGATTGCCCGATAGCGGAGCACGTGAAGTTCTTCCCTTCCTGTAAATTCATTTGTGGTGAGGATGTTGGGAACCAAGAGATGCTTCCTCTTCAGGAAATCTTTGACACTGTGGATGGGCAGTTCCTCAGTGTTTTGCAGGGGATAGAGAGTGAGGCGACAGCCCTCCCCAACGAACCAGAATACCCAGAGATGGTAACAGAGGAGATGAGACTATCTACATTTCAGAACTGGCCACAATATACTGACACGCATCCTGAGCAACTGGCTAGAGCAGGATTCTTTTACACAGGTAGGTACTCCGGGGAAATGTGTTTAACTCTTATTCAAGTTAACTTTTGAAGGTGTCGCTATGTTTTACTGCTTGCACAAATATTTGCAAGTATGTGTAGTGTAGTTAGAAACCACATCCTTCCTTCAGTCCATGCTGTTTCACTTGCTGCTTGTGCAGAATTCACTTCTATGTTAACTCCTGTTTGGGTACTGAGGGGTCCACTAGTAAGTCAATTCCCTTACCAGCAGGAGTGGAAAAAGTGACATGTTTTAAACAGATGTTTTGCTGGCAGAAAAGTGTGTGCTTTAAGATCCATTGAGCCTGTTTATTACTTACACTTCTAAAAGGACTTGAGGCACTTACTTGGCATGTCGTGTTTTGTATAAGCTCTGTCTTGCACTGAAGCCTTCTCTTCTAAAAGAGGAGAATTTCATTTTGTATTTGCACATCAAAACAGAGACATGGAAGGAAGTGACAGGCAGGGTCCATAAATGAAAGCTCCCTTGGCAGAAACAAATCTGTGTATCCTGAAAGCCTCACGCTCTCATTGTTGAAGTAAAATTGAATTGCCCTTTTCTCCACTTATTTAAGTACTATTTGTTGGTAAAGATGGGAATGGGAAAAAAACAGCCTTAAATGTTGTGATAGCTGGAAAAATCTGAGATGCAACATGGTGAATGATATGCACATAGGAAAGTCTGTCTAAATAACTGACCTTCTGTTCTTTTAGCCTGAGTTAGAGGAAGCAACTAGTTAGTTTGCTAGTATGTCTCTCTACTTCTGCAAGATTTTCACTCAAACTGCGTAACCTGGATCTTGCTATAAATCCAGTGAATACTAAGAATCTGCAACTGTCTACTTGGAGCACAGTAGCAGGGGCTAAACAGCACACGTGCCTAAATGGAAGAGCATTATTGGAATATTAACTTATCTGCTGCTTTTATCTTTTTATTAATTTTTAAGGCATACAAGACCAGCATGGCCAGGAACACAGAATAAACTATAAAGCAGTGTCTGCAGCTAAACACCTGTGATTTATCACTTGCAGAGCAGCTGCGTGAGAGCCCAGCACAGACTTACTTTGGGGACTCATTAGGCAGCAGCAGTCTGACATGGCACTCCCCTGCGGTCACTTGAGCAGGAGAACTCTGGAACTGAGCACTCGAGTTAAGCCAAACAGTACTCTAACATGAGAGTGTTTCGAAGATCGTGTCTGTGACCAAACTCACTGGCAGCCTTTACTGACGTTGTGTCATTGCCCTTAGGGCAGGGCATTTGTAGGCAGTTCTTCTTAACTGTGTGTGGCTTTAGTTTTTTTTCCCCTGTGATTTCTGTGAAGAGAAGCACAGTAGCAGGATGGATAGCCTGGGACCATGTTGTGGCAAATTCTTATACCTGTGAGATGGAAGCTGTGTACGTTGTCTGACTGTGCCTGCTGCTGGTTATGACAGATTGTGGTTAGGAAACAAAGTATGTTTATAGGTATAATTAATTACAGCTTTACTCTAAATGCAGGCAAGAGGGGATTGGATAGGTATGTGTGTACATGGGAGCTACGGTGCTCACATGCATGCTGCCTGTTAGCTTGTGACCCAGTTCTGGAATCATCTCAACCAGCCGCAGCTCTGGGAGTTCAAACTCTCATTGGATTTCCTGCCCCTATACAACTTGCACAGCATTGGTAAATTATCCTGTGCTCATCTGTTCTGCCTGGTAGCCCATGTTTTGTGCTGAATCTCTCCCCAGGTTCTCATCCGGGGCTAGTAGAGCATACAGTGTCTCGGATAAATAATCAAATGATCTCTCGATGTCTTTTTCAGGACAAGATGATGTAGTGAGGTGTTTTTACTGTGATGGAGGTGTGAGGAACTGGTCGTTTGGAGATGATCCTTGGAGGGAACATGCCAAATGGTATCCGGGGTAAGTCAGTCTTGGTCCCTCGTAGCAAGACCGAAAGATATGCCGTGCATTCCACACTGAATTTCTTCTTTCATGAGATAGAAGTACCCCCAGTTGAGAGACAAATGAGTTGCAGGTGTACTGGTAATAAGCGCTGCTTCCAGGCTCTGTTGTTAGCTTAGTTCTAGATTTTTCTACCTAGCTAGAGCAGGTGAAAAAGTCAGGTATGTTCAATCATGTTTAACTGCATAAACTGTTGCAATAGTCTGCAACCTTCTGGAAATCCCTGAAATCTCATGAGAAAGGTTCTGAATCCTCAAGGGCAAAGTTGTACAGCAAGGGACCATCTTCAGATCCTAGTAGTGGGTAGTAGTAGTAGATAGAAAACTTGCTTCCTAGGTCGGCCACTTAGTCTGTACTGCCTTCCTCCTACTCCTCGCATGTGGAAGAACCCAAGATTGGCCTGAAAATCTAATCATCGCGTCTTCAACTGCCTCTCTTCTCCTGTTCCTCCCTTTCCACCCTCCCCAAAAAGTAGTTGATGTGTGTCTGGTGTCTCTCTGTGTATGTTATCCCCTACAATAGTTCCCTGACTCCAGGACAGTCGGCTTCAGTCCCTTTAGGCTTCTTCTCGGGCATTGCCACATCTTCTCTTCCAAAGGCTGATTTATCACTGGAGTGTTAATGATGAAACCTACTGGATGATGGTTGTCTAAGCTGTAACTAGTTTTTTTTGAAAGAACTGAACAAACAAAGTGACAAAACCTAAATATTTAGACCCTCTCACTTTAAAAGCAAAATCAGATGTCCGAGCTCAGGTAGAATGGCACAGTTCAGACCTACGACTTTCTAATTTGACCTAGAGTTCACCATCTAAAAGTCCAATCAAAATCACTTTGTTTGACATCAAAGAACAGCTTGGGTTTCTACTACTGTGAGATACAAAAAGAAAGATATTGTAAACCTAGTTTTTCTGTAGCAGTTCTTGTGTTTTTCTGTGAACAGGTCTATTATCACATTTTCTGTGATCTGTTCTAAAGGACGTTGCAGCTGAGCTCATCTTGGGCCAAACATGAAGACTGAATTAAGGGGGGGGATTGTGAGCCTCTTATTGTTGCCCTTCGTGCAAGGAGGGGGGGGAAAAAGACCATGATACTTCCTCTTCTTTAATGAATATAGCACTTTGCTTATAACCCAATAGCACCCTTTGCTTCTAAAATTCAAACTACTACTGCTACTTTCACTTGAGATATCCTGTACTAATGTATTTAAATCTTTCTGCTTATAGGTGTGAATTTTTACTGCGGTCAAGGGGGAGAGAATTTGTTAGCAGTGTTCAGGAGTCCTTTTCTAGCACCCTGATATCTCCAGTGAGTCATGAATATTTTGTGTATAGTGGATGGGGGTTTGGTAGATAGGGGGAGTTTTGAGCACATGCTTCTCTTTTGTGACTATCTTGTGACATTTTCAGAGAGATTCCTGGGATCAGACTGAACAAGATTCCTCTGCTTCCCAAGGTCAGTGCTATAATTACATGGTGTTTTGTCTTCTGTTGAAAGTGGTGTAGTCTTACTTCTACCCCACCTCAGCTACTGTTGCACTCTGTAGACGTGGTGTTTGAGAGAGGTTTTGATATTCTAGAAGCTGTTTCACTTCATTTTTAGGAAATGGTCTCTAGCACAAGAAGCAAAATTGCTTGCTCTTGTGAGACCTCTTAGTCTAAGACTAGAGACATTTAGCTAGTCTGGATAATCATGTGACTTGTGGGTGCTTGCCTAACTTTTCTTTGATTTGTCCATGCTCTTGATGTTGTTGTCTGTCTGTAGAGACTTTCAGACTACAGCATTTTAAACATACTTGATAGGAGACCAGAGAACAGCTAGAGGGTCCAGTTGCTCATGAAAGTGTTGATCTTAGAGATCTATTCCCATTCATCAGTTGCTCCTGGAAATTTAAGTAGGTGAAATTTGGCTCCCATAACTGTGGAAAACTTCAAGAGAATGAGAAAAATCAGAACCTATCTGATAGGATGAGCTTAAGAAGGACTTAAGCCTTTGAAGGGGCTGCCAGCTGAATTTCCCACTTCTGTCTTTACTGATGAATGGTTGAGCTAGATTATGAGGTAGGAGAGACTTCAATTGGGCTGTTCCACTTGATCTTCATGAAAGCAGTTTCAATACTTCTGTTCTGGGATGTGAAAACAAAGATAAGGATTCTGGACTGGGGCCAAACATGGGAGACTTGCTTCACTGATAGAGTAGAATAAACCATCCAAAATCAGTTTCTTGGCTTTTATGAAATTGCTTTTGACTTTCTTGTGAATTATGATTGGAAGTAAAAACTATAAATCTGAATGTTGATCTAGCTATGTAGATAGCTCGAGGAATGTTCTAGAATATATTAATGCCATTTTATAAATACCAGCTTCAGGGAGTGGCATGCTTTTGGCCCAAATTTCCGCCTTTTTGGTAAAGTATCTGCTCACTGCTTTACAGATCCTCTGAGGAATTGGGAATTGCAGGCTCTTCCCTCTCTGGATCAGTTTACCATAGTGCAGAATGTCCTGCAGATGGGCTTTGACCCCACCTGGGTGGCTAGCCTGGTAGAGAATAAATACATGCTGACTGGGACTTTCTACCTTTCTGAGCCTGAACTGATTTCTGATCTGCTTCAGCCAGAATGGGAAGAGAGCAGCAGTGCAGAGGAAAGCAGAGGTATGCCTGACTCGCACACCCACGTTCTTGGTGGATGTTTAATTTCTTATTCACTTCATCTTGAGCACTGCTGTGAGTGTCTTGCGGGTCTGCCTTCTCTCTTCCTAGGCTGGAATTAAGAGTAGCAATGTACCCAAGCCTGCCTTTCTTTGAGAGGCTGAAGAATGAGGTTCTGCTTTAAAGAAACCTGAAGGAGCTGTGATAGATATATCTGCCTCCAATAGCCTATGGTGTAGATATCCTCGATATTTTCTGCTGCCCTTAGACCTGCAGCAGCAGACAGCTGCACGATGTGGAGGCTTGTGCACAAATTCACATCTGATGCAGACAGAGGCAGTTGTCTGAAGCAAGGCTTCTAGAATGGATGAGTACTCCAAGCCTATTTAAAATTGAATCAATGGCTTGATCAGAAATAGCCACACCTTTTGTTCTGATAACACATATTCTCCTTAACTTATCTGCGTCTGTCTTGTGTTTTCTGTCTTGTGGAGTCTGTTTGCCAAGTGAAGTTTATTTGAAGATGGAGTTCCACACAGGCTTTCTCTGGTAGCAAGCCTGCTTTCCAAAGCTCCTGTCTCCATATTGTGGTCTGCCATCTCTTTAGCTAAGGCGCAAAAAAAAAAAAGGTTTCCACAAAACTGGAAGTGTGATTAAATAGTAGCACAGGAGCAGGAATGAGCAGCTGATGGCTCCTGCTGTCTGACGGATAAACCAACTTTGCTGAGGAGACAATGTGATGTGGACATGTCTTGGTAGGGAGGTTAACACACATAGCGACTGAAGCACCACAGAGAACATCAGCTTCACCAGGCTGAGTGTGTGAAGTTAACAGCGGAGTAAAGAGGTGTTTAACCTAAAGCTGCTGAAATCCAGGATATTTCATCTTTTTAAACAGGACTGTCTGAAGAGGGAAGAAAGGGGTAGCATTTAATGCCATCTTCTTTCCTGGTTATACAGATGCTGTTGAGAGAGAGACTGAAACATCAAGTTCAAGAGAAGAAATACAATCCGTGCAACAAAAGGAATCAGGTGCACTGGGCTGACAGTGGTGGTGAAATTGAGCCTAGGCGTAATTGGGATGATTTTTTTATAGTAATGGTATCGGTGGTCATTGTATTCATTCATTTTCTAATCCTGAAGGGGAATGTGTGCTAGCTTGAATGGTAACTGAACATAGAGAGACCCTTAGTCAGGAATTAGAATTCCACTGTGAAGCAGACTGTTATACAAAAAATTTGGTTTATCAGGATAATTTACATATTACAGTAAAAAGATGTTGATCTCTGTCCCTGCTCAGGCCAGCATGTGTAGCTATGCTGAATCTTGTGTAGATAAGCCAGAGTCTATAATAGCTGTAGTTTTCCAGCTTAAATGAAATTTGCCTAAGAGGTACTTTTGCCACCTTCGCAGTCAGTTTCTGAACAAGATGATGAGCAGTTGCAGTGTGACTTCCTGAGATGACAGGACTGCACTCTGGAGCTGTTATAATACTAACGGTTTGGGCTTTTTTTTTTCTTTTTTGGTAAAGATGAGTCTCGGATGAGCACGGAAGAACAGCTCCGACGCCTGCAAGAGGAAAGGATGTGCAAAGTGTGCATGGACAGAGATGTGTCTGTTGTGTTTGTTCCCTGTGGCCACCTGGTAGCTTGTGGAGAATGTGCCCTCAATTTGAGATTGTGTCCTATCTGCAGAGCGGTCATCCGGGGAAGTGTGAGGACTTTCATGTCCTGAACCATGACGTGCCCAAGGGGAAAGATAAGTCTATACAACTCATTCATAATACAGCAGAGGAAGAAAATAAGTAAATAGTTTGATTGATGCTGGAGCAATCTTATTTGCAGGGCAGCTTGGCATAAGTGTAAAAACTTACTGAATGTGCCTCTTATGCACAGTGTTTCTAGTAAGAGTTTCTGGTTTGCTGTACTCTTGCTGTAGGACTGCTCCAGAAAAACTCTGCTGGTTTCTTTTGTCCTCCAAAAAGAGGCTTTTGTTGACAGAGATTCTCCTTCTCCAAACTCCTGCATTCTCAAAAGAATCCCTGCTCTGTGTTGAAATCAAGGGCTGTTTTCAGTAGACTGTCTCTGGTTCTTTTTCTCTCATTTAGCAGTTGTTTAGCAGAATAATCTCTAGAGTTGGTGACTTCCTTCAGTAAGTCTGAGTCAAAATGGGAGTATTTTTATACAAAATGCATTCTGTTGAGACTAGAATACTCAGCAGCAATGTATTGTGGGGGAGGGAGAATCCATCTTTCTTCTGAGCTCTTTGCTGTCCTCCCCCCCACCCCCATTGAATTGTCAACAATTGACGGAATGTTTCAGTAATACTCAAATCCACATAACTAAGTGAAAAGCCTGGCCTGTTGTAGACTCTCCAATCTCTTTACTCTCAGTTGACCTCCCTAGACAGAAGGTGAAAGGCTCTTTGATGGTCAGGGTCACTAGATGATCTCATGGAAGCTTCTTACAGAACCTCTTCCCTGGCTGTTGGGTACTATCCTACTAGAAGATAGCTATGGAAACTTACCTTTTTAGGACTTCTGTTTGCTGGCTAAACTGATGATTCTTGTTTTAAATGGAACATTCTATCATGTAGCCAAAAAGAAAGTTTTGTCAATACTACAGGTTGTTAACTGCAGGGGAAAGGAAATATGTTTTTTAAAATTAACTGTTCTTTTTCACGGAATAAAAAGTTTTTCTTTTGATTATCTTACAGAGGTCTGAGTATCTGATTCTAGTATAATGCCCTACTGGGGCAGGGGGTGTGGTGGTATCCTAAGATGTTAGAGCGGCATCAGGTTGTAGATCACTTGAACTTCTGTCTTTCAGTACTACGTGGGCATGAGTGAGAGGAGCAACTGTTCTTGCCATCCATTAGCTTCCTTTGGAATTCACAAGACAGCATGTGGGTCCTCCAGACTCTCTTAACTGCAAAAGAAGGGGTAAGGATGGAGGAGGATAAGGACCCGATACATGAAGCTGTGTAAGTGGGGAATAATTCTGCATTTGAACTTGATGCAGAGTTTTGGTATGTGGCTCTTAAACACATCTGCAGAGACTGGAGCACTGGCTCTGGAGTTGCTTCTGTTTGGTTCCAGACCTGGATACTGAACAGGGTTATAGGCTTGTCTCTGAGTAACTTTAACGTGTCAGTTATCCCTGGGACATGTGGGAAGGCAGATCTTTTCATCCTTGCCTTCAGAAGAAGGTAATATTAATGCAGCTCTTGGCAAAGATGAGAGAAATTACTAGTTGAGTAGTTTAAACTCTCCAACTCTTCAAGGAATTGGCAGGTCTTTGCCAGACAGCAGCTTTCACAGGGAACAGAACTGCACCACATGCCAAATTAGGTGTTGTGTCTGGGTTCAAGCTATCATTGGCTTTATTTTGTCTCTGTAAATAACAGCAAAAGCTTACAGTTTAAGTAGATGTGCTAATCTGAGAAGGGAAAACAAAACCAGCTCAGTGTTGGAATAGTGTTATTTCCTCCTAAACTTTAGCTCAGTGTGGCTGGAACCTTGCCTGAGCATCATCAACAGGATTACAAGGCTGTAAATATACCAGCTATTTCTGGGGCTTCTTTTATTTAACACTTTGACAACTGTGACTTTTCCACATCTGGAAGGGTGGAGCTGTTTTTTCTATGGGAAGATGTCCTTTCAGAAACAGGTACACGTTGTTTGTTGACTAGCAGTATCTCAAGTGATGCCTATCCCCAATAGAGGGCACTCCTAACCTGGCGATAAGGGAACCCACTGGAGCAAAACCTTCAGCTGCTCTTTACTCTTGCAGCACGTTGGAGATGCAAATGTCTGGGAGTCCCTACCCCAACAGAACAGGGTCATTGCATGACCTTGCCGTACTTAGAGTAGGTCTAGCACAAGCAGACCAGGAGGAAGGGTTGTCAGAGTATGAAGGATGAATGGCTCTGCTAATGAAAACTAGAGGAGCTAATTAAGTGTGGAATATGATCCTTGGTAGCTTATTTTCTTTCTTCTCAGACTGATTTTTTTTTTTGGATGATTTATGGCAGTCATTGATATTAAATATTATAGGCTTACCTGACCCCTTATTTTACCTGTGTTAAAAGATACTTAATTACCTGTGTTCATCATAACTTGGGTGGTAGTTATGGAGCTACTCGGTCATCACACTTGTATTTATTTAATTGATCTTTAGCAGTGTGTATTACAGTCAAGAGGCGTGCTGTTAGGTGCATAGTTTGATGCTTAGTCTCTTTAGAGTACTTGGCAAGTGTTTCTGATGAGTTTTCTTAGTAAATGTGGCGTCAAGGCTTGGTCAGTTTGAGACGTATAGTGTTAAAAACATGCAGAGCTCAAAATAATTCAGAGTTCCTTCCAACTTCATACTACCATCCAGAAGAATTCCTTCCTGAAACTACTAGTGAAATGTTTCAGCTGTTCAAAGCTGAAACTGTGCTTTCTCCACCATCTGTGCTGAATTTTGGTTGCACTCAAACACGGCCAATAAAGAATACTGGTGTCTGATGGACAACATTTCTCTCTGAGGAAAAGAAATTGTAATAAACCAAAAAAAGTGTAAAGTCAGTGTTTTCTGATGAGGAAAGGGAAGATTAATTTCAAAGCCCCATATAAATGAAGTCTTTCATGGAATAATCTCATTGACTAGAGGATATGTATTCTTCCATTCCTTTTTCTGCCCCTCCAGGTAACGTTAGGTGAGCAAGTAGGAATGAGTGTAATACAGAAATGAACTGAATCAAAGAAGAGGTGGAGAACATGCTAAGAGATTGTGTATGCACACTGCTATGCATGCTATCTAAATGGTGTAGTAGCTTGTGTTCCACTGATATTTTGTTTTAACTTGGTAGTGGCACAGTGTTGACTAATATGGGAGGTAGTTATGTTTTGTCAGGCAGAGCTGTTTTAAACAGGGTTGAGGGTTTTTTTTGTCCTCAAATGATGAAACTACTATCAAACCAGCAACTGTCAGCTGTCTGTTCTGCTCAGTCAGAAGCCGTGGCTTCTACTGGCTAAAAGAAGGAAAAATACCTGTAGAAGACAATGTTTTTCTTTTACTCGCAGCTGATCAGAACTCAAGATGTTAGGCTGCAGCGGGTATCTGGAATGGAAGTTGCACAGAAAGAAAAAGTGTTCTCTTAGTGCTTATACTTTTGGGTTTATAGAAGAGGATTTTGTTTCCTGGGCCCTTTGGAATGGGACAAATAAAGGTGCATCATTCTGTCTTTGACTTAGCACTTAATGTTTTTATTTATTTTAATTCTTTCCTCACACTTCCCCTCCCTAGCATGGCTTCTAGCTTGACTCTTCTGAAAAGCATTACTCAAAAATGCCAAGTAGTCTCAAACAGATTAGGCAAGACAATAAAGAATTACAATAGCACTTGGAACGTACCAGCCAAAGAACGGCACGGATGGCTGACAAGTGCTCTTTCTCTGCTTGACACGTAACATGCTGGGAGATGTAGCTAACAAAACTGACATTGTTTTTTGTTTTTTTTTTTAATTAATTGCTGCAGCTCATTAATGCAACTTAATTACACTTATATTCCCCTTTCATTCAGCCCATTCCCTCCCCTCAAAATTATCCTGTCGCAGAAAAACCCCTTCCATCAGGATGTTGCAAGGCTTGTGCCTTGAATAAGCGTGGCTGCTCAGTGAAGAAGGCAGGTACAGAAACATCTGTGATCCATGAAGAACTAGGCATTTTCCAGTGTCCTGCAGCAGCTTTCAGCTGTGTATATGGCTACACCAGTGTTAATTTAATGTAGATGGGCAAACCCAGAGTAAGCTGCAGCTGCTCTGAGAATGGCTTGGCATGTTGAAATGGGGCTAAGCTCCATGCTGAGTAAAGATTTGGTGCTTGTACTAGTTTTTAGCCGTGCAGCTTTACAGGAGTTAGGTCACAGAACACTGAAATCCAGGACAAATGCCTACTGCTAAGGCATGTCTAAAGAATAGAGAATGAGGAAGGCAATCCTGGATGGGCAGGGGGAGGAAGAAGGGAAGCTCTCATCTAAAGATTTGGTGCTTGTACTAGTTTTTAGCCGTGCAGCTTTACAGGAGTTAGGTCACAGAACACTGAAATCCAGGACAAATGCCTACTGCTAAGGCGCCGACCATGTCTAAAGAATAGAGAATGAGGAAGGCAATCCTGGATGGGCAGGGGGAGGAAGAAGGGAAGAGCTCTCATCTATAACTTAAAAAAAAAAAGCCTAAGTAACTCAAATGTAAATAGCCCCCACCTAGTTCTATACGGGCAGGGAGGAGATGAAGTTGTGTTAGGGGATTTAGGCTCTTTTCAGAACAAGGGAAAGGAAAAGGGGAAGAAGCTAACTACAAAACATGAAACGTCCCAGGGTGTTATGCAGTGCTTGCTTCTTTATGGATCCATGGTGCAAGGAAGCAGCTCCGACTTCAGCTGTATCTCTTGAGAGAGGCTCTGAGTGAACCTGTTCTGCCTGAGGTCTTCAGGCCCATGCCATTTATTGGCTAGTACCACCAGACTATGGTAGGAATGGTTCATCAGGGCACTTGGAGAATTAAAAACCAACCGCGTGGACATTCTTCAATGTACATTCATTGCATTTGAAAAGAAGACAAGGAACAAAAAATGGAATGGAGTTTACATCCTGCATTTCCTCTGCCAAAGATCTGGGCACCAGGGATTGCTTCCTGCAGCACCTCTGATGGTGGAGTACAAGGTTTATCCATCCTCTGGCTCCTCTTTATTTACGCAGGCCTGTAGGGGGGGGAAAAGTGAAGGCAGGGCATCAATGTGGAGCAAGTACTAAGTTGCTTACTTAAGATAATAGAAATGGTGTGGAAATAATGAGAAAAAAAAATCAAATTTGTCTCCTGTTCTGGGTTTTTAAATATGATTCACTACAGATGAGGAATAGGATTGAGAGCTCAGCGGTAATGTGGTTAAGTAGTCTTCAAGTCTGGAAAGAATGTTACGCATATACCAGACCTGAATATACTGCAGTTAGACTAAGGAATGAGCCAAAGTGTTAGATCTATGTATCCTCAGCGTTTGGAGCTGCATAAAATTTGGTTAGGAATTTTAAAAGCTAGGGGTCATCTCTAGAATAAAGTAGCTTCTTGAAATTGCGGTGATGTGCTTTTTGTGTAGATGCAGCAGTATAAGCAGATCTACTTTTGTAGCCAGCAGTAAAGATGAGTGAATGTTTTCGGCTGAAACATCACCTCTTAAACATGCAGCTTCAGGTTGATCAAAACAGTTTGCAAATTCCTGTTGCTATTCAGCAAATTGTTTGGGAAAAAGTCTACCTAGAAAGAAAAGCAGAAGCGTTTTGTTTTGTATTTTTTCTCTCCTCAAAACAAAGTGGGATTTTTTTTTTTTCCTGTTTAAGTAAAAGTTTCCTTTGTAAAGTATTCTGGTCATCAAAGACAGTTTGGAGGGGGTGGGGGGAAAATAATCTCAAGGGAGCTTAGTTTCTTCCCCCCTCCCTCTCCCTCAGTGTTTCAGTCTGGATTTTGATTTTTGTTTTGTTTTTTGAATTGAAGAATGTTATTTGTGTACTTGTACCTATCAGCTGATCTACTGAAGAACCTACTTTCAACCTGTAAGTGAATGACTGTTACATGGGGTCTAGTCCTTTAATGCTGCATGCTCACAGCTGCTTCATGCCTATGGCTAGCAGACAGACTGCTCCACAAAAAAATTGATTAGAGAGTATTAAAGTGAGCAATCATCAACTGGAGCCTTAGATCATTCAATTAACCAATGCCTCCTGTTGCTACCCTGTCAATACTGAAGTCTACATCTGATAAAAGTCACACCCTATGTTACCCTATAGTCCTTTCCACTGGTAGATCTGAGGAAAGCAGTCAGTGAAATCTGGCTACACAACTAAAAATCAAATTAAAGCTCTTAAGCCATAAATATAATGTAGTACTTGGGGTGCCAGATCACAGTGAGCATTATGGACAGGAGCCTCACAACTGTGCAATTCGCTGCTTGGCCTTATAAATACAGTCTTAAAAGGCAGGGAGATCTAAATCTAATCTAATCCAATCTAAACCTCCCCTGGCGCAACTTGAGGCAACACAGTATTCGAGGTGTGGCCTCACCATTGCGAGTACAGGGGGATGATCGTATTCCTAGTCCTGCTGGCCACACCATTTCTGATACCAGCCAGGATGCCATTGGCCTTCTTGGCCACCTGGGCACACTGCTGGCTCATATTCAGCTGGCTTCGTTAACCCTTCCAGAGTTACCAGTGCAAGAATGCTTCCTTGCCTCAAATGATGAGAATTCTGTTACTACAAGTGGCCAAGAAGAAGAGCAACCCAGAGCTGATGTCCTGTCCTGTGCAGCCTAAGAGGAGACAGTGGTGCAAGCAAGCATGGCCTGAATTTGAGCTTTAGCTAAGGAGGGGTAAGAGCTCAGCCTTTCCTTCCTGAAAACTCATTGGAAATGTTCCCTTTTGGCCTCAGGAAAATAACTTTGGTTTTCAATAAGTAATTTATTATCCTTTGGCTAAGTACTTTGACCCAGAAACTCATGCACTGAAGACTTTAAGGTATCTTCTATCAAGATTCCTAATGAATTATTATTAAATGCAGCCTAAGAGGAGACAGTGGTGCAAGCAGGCATGGCCTGAATTAGTGCAGTGCCTTGATTGGTAAGCAGCAGTGAGATTAAGGGTAATTCTATTACACAGTAAAACTTCCAGAACAATTTTTTCATGATAATTTGAGCCTCTCTTACTTAAGCTTGTGACTTGAAATAGGAACTATCACAACCAAACCCCCCTGGAGTCAATGAAATGTAGAACAGAAGCAGTCGTGGAACCTGAAATAGAAATAACTGTATTTATAGAATTTCATTGTTGCTGTGTGAGTGTTGGAGGTGCTAATTAAGATGAAGCACACTTAAATCATGTCTTTGTAAGCAACAGTACAAAACTGTTGGTTGATTTTTTTGTTGTTGTTGTTGTCGGCTTTTTTTTAAAAGAAAAATATAACCTGGCTGTTGATAATTTGTGAGGTTTTCCACTAACTGGAGACTTGCAGCTGAAGTCGAGGAGGTCAGTAGGTTACCATGATAAAGCTGGGAGATAACTGGATTGTGGTCTGGAAGTACCCATTATCAGTAATAGTTTGGGGAGATGTTTTTTTCCTCCTAGTAGGAGGCAAAGGTATTTAAGAACTTTTGTCAGTGCAGTGGACGGAAGCTGAAAGCCAGAAATGGGGTGTACATTTTGAATACTGAATTTAGCAGCTGATAACCACTGCAGTAGGCTGCCAAGGAACACAGCAGTCTCCCTTTAATATCTTTGAACTGTGACAGCATATTTAAAAGTTATCTAACTCATAGGCTGCGTGCTTGATACAGAGGTTATGGGGGTTGGTCTTGGACTTAAGCTGTGCACATCAGTCTAGGTCAATGTCATTGTCCTGTGGGGCCTTCAGATCTATGAAAATTCATAAATTTGGAGAGATGAAGAAGAGAGACTAGGGAAAAATGCAAGCCAGGACAAGGGAAAGGGCACATTGGGAGGAGAGGAAAGAGTGCGATCTCATCAGAAAAGGACAGATAAAACTGGAGTGAATAGGGTAATTCCATCAGGGAATGAAGGAAAGTGATCCTGTTAGAGAGCTGCGGCAACAGGACAAGTGCGTTATCAGGAGAGCAGCTGACTACTGACAATGGGGTGGTGCCATCTTAAAATGAAAGTTCATGGTTGCAGTTAGCTCCAAGTCAGTAGTTGTAGAATAGATTTGGTTTCGTTCAGCATTTCCTTCAACAAAAAGGAATTAAAACCAGAAAGTCCATGTTCCTGACCCCTAGCTGTTCTATAAATTTAAACTTGAAAGAAGTTGGATGTATTTGTTGTTTTGCATCTTCTTGAACAGTATATAAAAAAAGAAAATGCCTTCAGTCATCACAAAATGATTTTCACAGCAGGACAAGGGTGTCTGGCACTCGGTGCCCCAGACTGCGAAACTCCATGGCATCATTAGTTGAGAATCAAGTATCTGTTCCTCCTCTCACTCTCATTCATACATGTGGAAGAAAGGCAATAGCTAGGCTGAAATAAATAAACAAAAATTGCTACTTGGTGGCTGCTGTGAAATTTATAGAGGGTCACCTTATCTACTGCTCAGCAGCTGTTTTCATCTCCTGTTAGCCAGAAAGAAATATTATATTGTGCTGGCAGAAGCTATCAGTAGATAAGTGATGGTCTGAAGAATGGGACTGAAGAACAACAGAATTATCTGTGTACTTCATTAATAGCTTACCAGCTTACTGAGACCCTTGTAAGGAAGTTTTACGTTGCTCGCTTCTGTTCATATTGCAGTGTCCCCATATAGAAAACTTCATTTATAAGTACTAGTACAGAATTTGTCATTTTAAGAAAAAAAAAACCAGCCCAAGCCCCATACTGTAAAAGCGTGATGTTTCTTCAGCACGCTGCTGTATCAAGCTAGTTCATCAAGGAGCTGCTTAAAGCTCCACAGCTTCTGCAGACTATGGAAAATTCCATCCCACTGTGACAAAATGAGAGGGAAATCAATATTTAATCTCCTGTAGCATCCCTTCTAATAATGCTATTGCACCCCCAAAGTTACAGGGAATTTAACTGCTTTGCAAAGATGACTTGTTCTCCTGGTCTCGTGCTGCAGTGCCAAAGTGGGTAGTAAGTCTATACTACATTAGAGGGGCACACTTACAAATCTATTTGGGGGCAGTTTTTCTTCCCTGAGCCCCACTTTTCTCCCCCCTCCTCACATCCTTCTTTTTGGCAGGACTCTCTGGTAACATTATTCCCAAAAAACAACCTCCCTTAGCAGCTGCTTTAAAAAAATTCTGCACCTTGAACTGCCTTCTTGCAGCTCGATTTAAGGAGTATCAAAAATTCAGATCTTATTGCTGCTTTAAACAGATAATACTGGCCTTTATGTTTGAGAATCTCATTAAGAATCAGCTTTTAAGTGGACTGCGTGAAAGTGTGATCTTGTGCCTTCAGCAGTGGGAGGGGATTATCAGAGGGCAGAAGCTGGAATTCAGCAATAGATCTTTATTAGTGGTATGACAGGAGCTGCTGTGGACAACTCCCCTTTCTGCTCCCTGCTCTCAGCTGAACTCTTGGGATGCCCCGCACACAGAAGCTTCTGTTCTTGTAGGCAACAGAATTTAAAAAAAAGAAATGAAACCTTAAGAGCAAGCCATCTAATGCTTGGTTTAATTTAATTCACTGGTGTGTTAGCGTTGTACCCTGCAGGTTCCCTAGAAGTAAAAGCAGATACAGGGAGACCCTGTACCCAAGACAGAGTCAAATTTTGTGGTGCTACCATGAGAAGATTACTGGAGGATGACAAAGACATGGCCAGTGATCAAAATTGCATGGATATATAGGTCAGAGTTCAGTTACGATTGTCTGTCCACAGAGCTAAAATACAGCTTAAGTAACCAGATGTTGCATAAATTTTACCCCAGTAGAGATCCGTCATTGAGGCTCTGCCTGACAGACCACAATTTAACCTTGAGACTGAGAATCATATTCTGCTATCGCTACAGCTTACTCTCAGCATCCACTGAGGCTGATTCTTCCTTCCTCACAGCTCCTACCTTTACCTGCTTGGGCACCATTCACAGCTGAAAAGCCTTTCTTGCTTTCTTCAAGGAAAAGGCATCCAGTAGTTTGTTTACAATAACATCCTACAGCTGGCCCCACTGCTTCCTATCAAACAGCACTGCTATAAGCCAAGTACGGCAACACCAGCTTCATCCTGGCAATCTGGGGCTGAGCAGAGGCAGTTTCACCCCTTCTGGTGTCCACTTGCTCATTCCTTCTGTGCCTGAAAAGCCTGCTGGAGAAATCAACCTGCAAGGAGGAAAAAACCCAAACCTGTGGCAACCTTGAGCCATAAAACTACGAGGCATGCATAGCCTCTTAGCACAGGAGATGATACTTACAGGTATGTCTGCTTGAACAAAAGGTTGGTGGGTTTTTCATTGACATGGTAGAGAGGAAATGGATCAAATCCACCAATGAAATCAACTGAAAAAAAATCAAAACTCAAATAAACAAACAAACATGGCCAGAAAGTTGAAAGGAAATGAAAGAGAAAGTTGGTGCATGTCATGGCATAACACAAAAATTAGTGAGAGAACAGAAAAATGATTTTTCAGGTATGGATTGCCTGGTGGAAATCTTTGCCTGCACAGACCTCTTTTCCAGGATCTCCTGGGATGGGCAAGTGTGCCAAGGAGGAGATTCAGCTAACACAACACTTAAAGCACAGAGCTAACAAAAGGCTCCAGAAAAACAAGAGGGCCTCCCTCAGCCTCCTTGGATATTGCCACCATGCTGTGCCTTCACATGAGAACTGAGCTGACAAAGCCTCAGCCATTCAGCGATGTGCTGAAAGAAGGAAGCTGGGGAATGGCTCGTGAGTGAATGCCAGCGGAGAAGTTGGCAGCACAGTAATCCCCGTGAAGGTTATATAGTCAAGTGGGAATTTTCTTGCCCCACTTGTCTTTCCTGCAAGACAGACAACAGCAGCTTTGGAAAACTGCAAATACCTCATTATCTTCAGCTCTGATATTTTTCACGTCCCCTCTGCCAACTCAATTTCTTTTAATTGTATACAAATAGGAACAATGCTTCCCTTCTCCAGTATTCACATAAGGGCAATGTAACTAAACAAGGAAAGTTTTAAGTGACAATTCCCTTAGTAACCATGGAAGAATTTTCCAAGTCTCTCTTAGTTCCCCTGAAATTAGGCCAAGTCTATATTATTGAGCTGGCCAACATAGCCAGGTCAGTAGGGGTATGATGTGTTCTGATTTGTGACTGACCTAGTAGGCCTTGCAAAAACCTTTAAAACAGATCCAGCTTAGACCACTTTTTTGTGCCAAGGTAGTGCATTTTGTTCGGAAGTGTGAAAACTATCTGGTCCAAACGCCATTTAAAAATAACTGGAGAGTCTTATTAACTATATAAATGCCTGTTTATTTTTCTTTCCTGAAGGTGGCACTATTATTTTAAATTTTAGCTAAAGAGTTTTGGTATTTTTTAGTGAACAAACAATAGAAAAATATTTACTAAATATATTGGAAGTGGAAAAAACCCCTCTTAAAATATATTTAGAAACCCAAGGACAATGTATTATCACGAATTCCATCTTGATGGATAACTTCATGCTGGTACTGTGATTTTGGAACAACTGTCAGTTAATGGGCGAAATCTGTAGAGGTTCTAAGTTAACTGGGGGGATAATTCCCAGTAGTTCCAGTGAGACTTGACCTTTTCTCAGCCACTTTTGAAAATGTTTGAGTATTTTAAAATCAAGACAGTCTGCAGTTTTAAAAAACAGATACTAACTATATTACCTCAGTTGTGGAATGTCTAAATTAGGAAACCTTAAAGAATTGCAATTTTCAGTAACTGTTTAGTACCTTGAACAAACAAAAGTCCTATCATCTGAGCACCCAACCACAGAAGCACTCAAAATCCAAGTCACTTAAAAAAAAAAATTTAACTGTGGTTCATTGTTGCAATATATTACAGTGTATTAGCACATCTAAAATATTCTTGCCAATAATTCAGGAATAGTAGATCCCTACTGCTGTGTTTTCTCATGAAAATCACGTTAGCATGAGCTTCCTGATTAATGTGCCTCAGCACTTATAATTACTTCATGCTGCATATCAAAGCAACATTTAAAGGAAACCACAAATGGAAGAGAAAATTAAAACGCAGCTCAAATTTGTTCAGGTCACTGGAAGGATCTACCACTGTGAGTGTGAAATATTGATGGTTTGTCATTGTTAATTATTCAAGCTGGCATTTTAACTCCAAGCTGGGAAACTGGGAGGGAAAAGGAATTTGTTAGTGGAAAAAAAATACATATCCTGAAATTAACAGCTCCGCGTTTCTAGATAAAGCTTTCTTCCATGTGGTTGCCTCTCCTAACAGATCCCTACTATAAAAATGAGCTCTGTCAAGTTATTACCTTAGAATATTCAAAAGGGGCTCAGAACTCAAGCTATTTCGCTAATAGAAGAGCTACAGGGTAATTTTTAAAATATTACTTATAATGTAGCACTTCCGCTAAGTGCATTGCCAAGCTCTAAACAAATGATCAGTAAAGTCAGTAGAATGAGTTCAGCCACACAGGAAGCAACAGAAAAACATGACGACAAGTCAGATAAGCAAATGCATATCATCTCACTCCTATGAAATCAACATTCTTCACATACTTTCAAATATTCAGTTCAAAGCTGTGGTTTTTCAGCTAAAATCCATGCCAGCTGCTCTTTAAAACAACAAAGCTACTTTCACAAACCTAATGAATGTCTTAAAGAAGTGATACTTAGATCTAAAGCCTTTGGATTGGATCCTTACCTGGAGTAAACTGGCCTAGACCCATTGATTTCAGTAAGACTTTCCTGATTCAAACATGCTGAGAATTCAAACACAGAAAGGCAATACATTGCCAAAGAAATCAGACTCACATTTATTTGAACCCTATGTGTCTGTTCTTTTGCTTGCAAAATTATTGCTCTTAAATGGAGTTTTAGGAGGGAAAAGTAATCCAGGACCAGATCACAGATACCTGGAGAGATCCCACAGACCCAACCTGTGTGATTGTGATTCCTCTGAGTCTTTGCTCTTCTCTGACACGTCATGACACTTAAGATATTTCTATACCAAACATGAGAGAGTCAGCTCCTTCCTCCTTCTTGTAATTCAGATACAGTACTTCCTCTGCTTTTAAATTAAGTGGTCAGGTTGGTTCTTGGCAAGAAATCTCATGCTCTGCTTCATCCTCGGCTTGTGGCATATGATACTCAGCAAGTGGCCTGCTTGATTACCGGGCTGTATTTTTTGTTGTAGGTACTCCTAATTACAATGGCAATATTTCAGTGGCATTAAGCTATATAAGTTTGAGAACAGAAGAAGCTGCCCAGTTTCTTTAAAGCCTAACCTGAGTGAGAAGCCAACACCAAGTTTTTGTGGGCTGAAAGAGTAGCAGAATTACAGCATCTAACACATGGTGACATGGGGAAAAAAACCTCACAGTAAAAACAGCTGATCCTTGAAAGGCAGGTAGTGCCATATCACATAGATGGAGAGATGGAAAGAAGAATGATGGCAACTCAGTCCTGATAGACAAACATCTGAGAGAGAAATAAAATTTAATAAAACCTTTGCCAAGGGATCTGTTGATAAATACTTACAGCTGTCTTCTTCTTCTGTAAAAACACTAACAACGTAACAGGCGTAGACAAAGCCCACCAGCTGGAAAATAGAGAGAATAAATCATTTTAGCATCAATCTTGCGAGACTGGTCAAAACCCACTTGGCACGACTTCAACAGCCATCATTTACTGTCAACTTGGCAGCATTACTGTAATGGTGAGGCCAAGTCATATTTGCTGTAAGGTAGGGAGTGCAGGCGTAGGGTTAGGGGAAGACGTTGCTGGGAGCATACTCAAAGGTCCAAACTAAAAACTTGCAAGACCCATCCTCCCCTTCAGAGTAGCAGCCTGCTGTTGCTAGAATGATTGGCGAGAACATGGGCTGGCTTTGCTGACACTGAAACTACCGTGCTAAGTTTACTCTCTGTAAGAAGTGATGAGGGTGCAGGAGAGTGCCTTATGTAACATTTTAGACAGACGACTACGTACAGGACAGACACACGGACGTACAGGGGTAGGTTTTATTAACCAGGGACGAGAACTCATCAGCTCTGTATTCCTGTCATAAGGGGTATGCAAAGGAAGAGAAATTACTTTGGTGTGGGAGCTACCAACAAGATGTGACTAGCTTTTATGCAGATGAGATAGAAACTTAGTTAACCATAAAAATGGTGACGTACTGGCAGCAATGTTCAGAGACACTGAAATCTTCAGTAACGTAGGCTTGGAGATCAAAAATTCATTGGAAAGAAATCCCGGTCTTTAGCTCTACAATTTCTAAGGTTCTTTCTGTCTGTGGAGAATAAACACTTCTGCAAGGACTAATCAAGCATCGGGCCTACAAAGTAAATGGGCCAGAGCACAGTGAGAAACAGACAAGACGACAGCAATGGTCTTAATTCACAAATTGCATAGGTTAGCAGTAAATTGCCACCTCCTGGGAACCAGATAGAAGCAGGGAAGGAGCAGTAAAACAATAGGGTGCCTCTCAAATAACAGCCATGCTAGCATGGTGTGGCCCTCATGTCAACCCATCGCTCAGAGCAGTCTTTAGAGCAGAAAACTAGAGTGAACATTAAAAAAGCAATCTGAAGTAGCCTGGTGGGTCTGTCCTTAGTTGGTGGTTTGTAGAAGCTCTAAAGCATCAGAACTGCCTCATTCCGTTTCAGTAGCAAGTTGTTACTCAGCCTGAATGGAGAAACAAACTTCTGGTACTACGGGAGTTAAGCATTCTAGATCCAGCAGGGTTTTATTTTCTTTTGCCTTCTTCCTGTTAATCAAATATCCTCTCCATCCTTCATTTTACATCTTTACATAACACCCCACTTAGCGAGATCTTGGTTGACAGTAACTGTATTAGTAAAGTTATTCTGAGACATAATTGTTTTCCACTGTGAACTCAAATCTTTTGAACAAGAGTTAGAATGTAACATACAGTGACTCACTCTAAGGGAAGACAGAATGATGCATGGTAGGGCTTGAAAAGTAGAGTCCATTCATTTTTAGTATGACAGAAAAATACATCACACCAGAAAACAAAAGGCAAGATAATGAGATTTCTACTGGGGAGTTATAAGGCATTCGTGATTTCTCCAGCTCTCCCCGACAAAACACGCCTTGTTGGAAGGAAATGGAATGTTTTTGTAGCATCACTAAACCTGTATTTCCTTTACAATTTTCTATAATCATCTGAAAGACAAGCCAGCTCTCTCCTTTCCTCTTGGGTGGGCCCTATGCAAGCATGTCCCAGTATGTCTCAGTGGAGGAGAGGTAGCGCTATGGACTCATTCGTTCCCCTGCTGTGTTTTTTTGAAACCAGGGCTGCTTCATACTAAGTTTCTATGAGCTACAGAGGACTTCATGCAGAAAAAAAAATAAAATAGCCTTCTGGGCGTGATGGTAACCGCAAAGCCACATGCAACGGCCAATCTAATTTTACCTGCTGACTTTTAGAATTGCCTCTGAGTAGAACCCATTGCTTTTTAAAGGCAGACAAAAAAAAGAAAACCAACCCCAAACCAAAAAATCAGAATAATCAGAGCTTTTTCTTCTCTTCCATTGCTTGTACTGTGCTAAGCAGAAAACCCAGGGCGCGTGTTTTTCTTTCTGAAGCCTGTGGTAGTTTGGGGGCACGTCCGGCGGCCGGGCTGCGGCCCCGGCCCGGGAACTGGCCGTGGTGCTGACGCAGCCCCCGAGGCTGCTCCCCGTTGCCTCGCGTCACGAGTGGGCTTGGCTGCGAAATCAGCAATTAGCGCTCATCAGCTGGGCTGGGGTAGCTAACGACGTGAACACTTGCAGCTGCTCTTGGGAAAAACAGAGTGCTGCAGCTTAAAGCCGTCCCAGCATTCAGTGAGATGTCTGACCACCCGCCTGCACGCTCCGGTCTCCCGTGTAAGTGCGTTTGCTGTCGCCCCAGGATCAAATTAGGAGTGTGGTTACACACATTCTTTGTACTTCCTCTAGCATTTTTATAGTTTGAAGATCCAGCCCTTTACATTTTACAGGATATAAGGTCAAATCGTGCAGTTTACGCACACACAAATATCCAAGCAGGAAAGATGCATCTTGAGCGTGTGCCCTGATTCCAGGGGAACTCTAGGAAGGTTTTCTCTTCCCCCAGATTTTTCATCATGCCCCAGGGTAGGAACTTTGGGTTAATAGCCATGCAAAGTGGCAGCCCTAAATCCATTCACTGTTATTATACTCTATAACATGTACACACAAACCTTATGTGGTATCTGTGTCAGGGAACTCATGATAGTATTAACAATGAAAATGACTTACCGGCCCAGTTTATGGGCAGAGTGCGTGAATGATTATCAGCGATACTGTCACGGGGAACCTGTTAAACCTCTGAAAATTGTTCACGGTTCAGAAGCACCAAGGAAGCAGCAAGATTGACTTGGGAAGTTTGTTTTGCACAGAAATTAATGCCTCATACCCTCAACCATCATTCTTCTCACCCCGTATGTTTTTTCCTTTTATGACTAAGGTGACCTTTTGCATCCAGAAAAACAAACCAACCAGCCAAAAGCTAGTGAATTAAGTGAACTTCCCTAAACCTCTAATTCCAGCTCCAGTAGAGTGGAGGGTTTGCTTTTTTATTTCTTCTATCGCCTGGCTTTGTTTCAAAATTACCTGCTTAGTGTTTAAATTTTACTTTTTATTGACTTCATAATCCATTCCTTCTTTACATGGGTTTCATCAATAAAAAAATTGTTGATTTAATGGCACTTTTTTGCTAGTCTTGTGACCTGGCCAGAAGAGGACAGTTTCAGTGGCAAGGAGGGAAGAGACATACAACATAAACATGAATTGATTTTTATATGGGCTGACCTAAGCTATAATTAAACATATCACCTCAGGGATGAAATGAACTCCTGGGATTCCCCATGTCTCTCCTTCTGCATGAATTATGAATGAAATATAACTACAGAGGAGAAATGCCGCTCCTATTGTCCGGTCCTTTTCACTGGAAGAGCCTGCTAGAATGCGGGGTGAGCAGACCCCAAGAGACACCAACGGTTCCCTTCAGACTGCATCCTTCATGAAGACATATCAAGCCCCCAAACATCACCAAGTTTAGCAGCAATTAACATAGAACAGAAAGCTTCACAGAGGCCAAGAATTTGGAAGTAATTTCACTCTTGCTCAAAGTGCCATCTTGGTTGCTGATTTCAATAGGAAAGAGAGTTTTAACCTCTGTTATCCCAGGGAAATAGCAATAATTCTTAGATCTTTGCAAATTATGTAAGGAAGGTGGAAGAGGAGGGAAAACGTCAGTGATGTAAAATGACACTTAGCTGTTGCTCTAATTCCCCAAAGAATGTTTTGGGGCTTTAGGCTCTGCTGCTGTTTCTCTGTTTGTTCTGCATGTTCAGTACCAGCTTCCTCCAGGCTGCAGAAGTATCCAATTAAGCTTTTATTGGGAACACATGTTGTGGGCAGGTGTGTTCAGTCAGCCTGTCAGACAGCCTGGGAACACACATGCTGCCGAACAAAAGAGGATGGAGCTGGGATGTCCCAAGCATTCTGCAGGCAAATGAACAGAGCAGGAAAGACAGGAAGAGATAAGAGTGCCCGAAGGAAAAGAGGAAAACGTAAGTCTGTACATCCCTCTGCCCCTCAGTCATCTGAAGTTAGCTTTTTAATAGTGAGTTGAAAAGTGTTCACAGAACAGCAGCATTGAACTGAAGTGCTGGAGCCCGAAAGACTGAATTACAGCAAGATCTACAGAAAGGGACCAGCTGGCTGTGAGTGTGCAAAATACATGAAGGATGGGAAGGCAAGTTTTAGGAGGTGTTACTGTTGCTTGTGTAAAATCTTAGCTTTAGTCTACAGCTGTCCTAGTGAAGATTCTGGGCTCTTCAAGACTTCTTTCAGTAGAAAAATTTGCCATTGGTTTTTCCACCACAGAGAATATGTGCAGTCTACTCCTTCAGGGCAGATGTATTCTAGGTTTCATTTCTAATCAGAGCTAATGAAGTGCGTATGCTCTCGTCAGTGCGAGAGGGAGGAAATGAAGAGATCTCTGCTATAAGAAAGCAAAAAGCCAGCTTGTGAAAGAGCTATTGTGACCAGATAGCCAAAAAGAGGCAATCAAAATCCTTTGATTCCTTGACCTTCTTTATTCTTTGGATGCAATTACGATCACTGAAAATCTAGCTTCTGCCAACAGCAAAGCATCTCTTGTGCGTTGCTTCTCACATAACATCTGCTGTCAAGGCTTGCATTGCTGCCTTCCTGGGAACCTTCCAACCTGTCAGTCTGAGTGAAAACAGCAGACAGGCAGGCACTGAGTTCTCTTGGTTGGGAAGACATTTCCAATTTCCATCCCATTCAGCTTCAGGAAAAGCCTAACCCTCCCCACTCCCAGAACTACCATATGGACAGCCCAGAGCTATGCCAGGTATTTCAAAACCAGCAATCACTCCTATCCCTGCTGGCTGGCAAGTTGGGGAGGTGCAAGATGAATCCTTGCTGAGATAAAAAGAAAGCAGATTTGATTTCTTGACAAACTAGTTGCTGTTGCGTTTCCTAATTGGGTTGATAGGATTAGTTTTACAGTGACATTTCTATAACAGTACAGACTTTAAGATGTTGTTACAATGAGCTTTCCTCCATTGTGTTCTGTGCTAAAGTACTGAGAAAGATTTTCATACCGGGCCCTACAGCTACTTGTATCACACATGGTGACTGATATGCCCAAGTTTGATCGCATTCCAGATTAAAGGAGTTGCTTTTGCCTTCAAGGAGTACAGACAAGCTCTGGGCGAAAGCAGACTGAGACCTTATGTATCTTCAAATGTATGCCCAGGAGGAGGATAATACAGTCAGCAGGAGTCAAGATGACAGCCAACACCGTGCTCGCCATATGGCTTCAGGTTTGCTTTCCTTCTCCTTTGGCATGCAAGATTGAGTTCAGTGAGCCTTACCCCAAGTACACAATACGGTGCACTACAGTTCCTCAACAGTCTCAAGGAATTGGTATTTCCAGAAAACAAACAAAGTGTCCACAGCTGGGTACTGCATAGTTAAAGAACATGGATTTCACACTACCATAGCTGGAATAAAAGAAAAAAAACCCACAAACCACACAAAGACAACCCCCCACCCCACAACTTCTAAAAACCATTAGGCAAAGCAAAAACTACAGAAAGCACAATTTTGCCTGTCCCTTGCCCTTCTTAACAGGGAACTGACTATTCCAGTCTCAAAAGCATGGCAGACAAGGAGGGAACTAGGTCATGTCTCTTGCTGCATCCCCTGAGCCTTCAAGTTCCTAGTCATGTTTTTTGTACTATCGATCCGGTCTCCCTGCCCGTCTGCAGCACAGTACCTGCCAGGCGCTCTGGGAAGGACAGCAGCCTGTAATAAAATCTGCCTTAAAATGAGATAAAGAGAACAGAAAAAGGTACTGGCAGGGATCAAAGAGTTTGACCCTCAGAGACTAAAAAGGGAGAGAACTGGCTGACTGTTTTCAGGCAAGGTCTGAGTGAGAAAGTGAGAAGGCTTGCTTTCTGCCTTACCTCAGCAAAGCAGAGAGGAAAAGCTCTGTTTCTCCCACTTCATGACAAAATTATATGAGCATTTCAGAGCTGGCAGGAGTTACAGGCCTGGGGCTTCAATACTCTACCTTCATTACAGGACAAGTAGAAATTCAGTTCACTCTGCATAGCTCATCCCATACGGATTGCTTGCATACAAGTATTTCAGCCTCATTTCCAGGGTTTAGGATTCAAAAATCCACTGCAACTTAAATCTCAGGGAGAGGGAGAGAGAAAATATTTACCTAAACCCTATTTTATCTTATAGTTCCCTCCTCTGTCTCACCATCTGGCCCTTTGGGGCATTTTGCAGATGCACGGAGAATATTGTCATGTGCCTTTGGGAAGAAGCAAAGGAGAAAACACTCCCAGAGACAGAGACTCCTGTATATCGGTGCGATCGCTTAGCTCAGGGCCATGTGCCTAAGTTAGTAAGCTGCCATAAAACAAAGGTCTATTCCAAACAAACTCAGGACCGTTTGTTGGCTGAACCTCTAGCCTGGGGCACAGGGCCTCGTGCCAGCTGAGGCGTTTAGGAAGGATGCTAACAGCAACATACTTCTGCACTTTAAAAGTCTGGGATGTTCTGACTTCAAAGTCTGTCAATTGTTTCACCAAACTCAGGAACAGCACCAGCTCAGCAGCATCAATCCCGTTCCAGCTAACGGCCTTTATAAAAGACAACAGGCTCTATTCTTCTGGATACATAGGTTTGCCTTTCTCATACACATGCATTAAAGCAACTCTCGGATAGTTTAATGCAGATCATTTTCCCTGAAGGAGAACTAACCAAATATTAACAGCCAGCACGCACACCAGAGAGTCCATCCAACTCAGGAAACAGAAGCTTCTCCGTCTTCCTCGTTTTTGTGACGTGGCAAGAAAGGGGTCTGAGTCTTCCCCCCTCCCTGCAGTTCACTGGGTCACACAGATCATCCCAGCTAATAGGAAATGCAGGATCAAGACAGCGGAAAGTTGTACCAAAAACACGCAGAGAAGTACTTGGCACTCCAGAAGCTTGGAATTTCTCTATTTGTTATCCCTTAACATTTAATCAGGGCAAGTTACCCTTCTTTTTTAAGCCAAAACTGAAAGCTGAAATGTGAATGTTTCATCAGTTCGTGTCCGTTAATACTTAAAGCCATTAACCACAGAGTAACAAACCAAAGCAGATTAGAAAGATGCAGGCTGCTAACTCTAATGCAGCTACACAATGCAAGAGTACTGACGAAGTAAGGGGCACAATGGACATTTTGTTTCAGTTAATTTCACAGACAAGCGAGAAACAAATTAATTAACAGTGAACATTAAGGACACTGAATTACTGCAGAGGACTTCAAAAAGCCTGTGGAAGACTCTGACAAGGAAAGAGTTGATGAAAACATTTAGTACATGTATCTTAGGTGTCAGCAGAAAGAAAATATGCTGCTTTCTGCTTCCTTAAAATTTCTTTCAATTTCTGGAGATAAGGATCTTCTCCCTTTTATTCCTTCACAGCAAATATGCACATATGTGCTCCATCACTAAGTCACGTGGAATAAGAGAAATCCTTCAGAAGGGTCTCTGTCCTTGTCAAAACATGAATTTCCACACCCCAACAGGGATACTGTTTGCTATTGTATGGTTGCATGGGATGCATTACTTCAGGTGTTAGGTTGCTGGTACCCATTTCCAATTCTTTCAAGCAATATTGTTCATAAGAGAGAACAGGAGAATAAACAAACAAAAAAACATTTACAGAGGCTTTTGTAATCAGATGATACAAAATGGGGTGGAAAATACAGGCCAGCCTCTGTGCCTGGAAAAAAATAAAACCAAACAGCATCTCCTCAACAATTGCTACCCCGCAGCCCTCTCAGCAGTGTACTCACCGCAATCAGGATCTGGAAGGAGCTGTGCATGACTTCGATGTACCGATACTCCAAGGCACAGCCTATCACAGAGATGTAGGAATGGCTATCCAGCCCTTTGATGCCAGACATTGAAGCCTCCTTCCTTACACAGCCAGGACCATTTTCACTCCACCATGACTGGTGCCGGGAGATGTTGAATGTCAAGAGTTCACTGTCCTAAAGAGAAAAGTTGCCAAGAGATCTCCATTTACTATAAGAGTGTCTGATATGCTGCCAGATGGAGGTCATATTAAAAATCAATGGAAAACCTAAAGTTTCTAAGATCCCCACCCTCAAGAAATGATAGCACAGATCAAAATACATTGGCTTTATGTTCCTTATAAGTTTTTCACAGGCAGGCTTCCGGGATGGGAACCCTTTCCGAGGCAGTCCTGCAGCACTCCAACAAAGCTATTTCACCATCACGTAGCACACTCCAGAAGCAGGACTGAGCAGCTTCTAAATCAGAAAGACAGTTTCTAGGCTGCAGACCCAAGAACATTTTGTTAGTGGTTCCTGCACCCAGAAAAGAACCCTCAAGTTTTGGGTTTGGGAGATTAACCTTACAAATCTAGAAGAAAAAGGTAAACAAGGCAGCACTAAGCATCCTGTCAGAATCACGTGTTATGGGTATGTTCTTCCCAGCATGGGAATCACCACAGATAACTGAGAAATATGAACTTCATAACCCTAAAGTGAGTTTCAAAACCCAACAGATCTCCTAGCTTTTAACACATCTAACAAGTTCCCTTACCATTTCTGTCTGATTTCCTTCCACACTCTTCACGTATGGTGCTTCTGTGTCTTCTGTGACCTGAGGCTGACAGTGTGTCAGGTCAAGATTACCCAGCTGAGCTGACATCACAGTGGTGATCGCAGCTTCTTGCAAACGCTTCCCCAGCAATTCCTTATCATCTCCACCCCGAGAGAAGCTTTTTGGTTTGCTCTTCTCATCTTTGCTAGTTCAATAATTTAAACTGTGCCATTGTGGGGGTTACATAGTGAAATGCCACACAAGTAGTGCAGGAGTTTGGGATGCAGCCAGGTGCTCATTTGAAAATGAGAACACTTTCCTCACACTTGAGAAAAGAGTGGTACTCGCTGGAGTACCCGGGAGAGCTTTGGGATTTTGAGCTTACAGGACATGGCAAAGCCCTCCCTGCAGACAGTAAAAGACAAACTCAGAACTGGCTGAATAGATCAGCTGCATCACTTCACAGATGGGTGCTAAGTGCTGGGTGCTCCAGCAGCCCTCTCGGGTCACTTTGATGCAGAATCAACAACCCCTTTTGACCACAAACAAGGCAAGGGGTTGGAAGTTTTATTCTGAAGGATAGATTATAAAATTCTCATGCAGAGAATCTATGTGACTCTACAGAGTAGAAATAGGTATTGGATATACACACCTCACCTAACCATTACTAAAAGCTTTCGCGCCTATCCATATACCACGTCACACTGCTCATGCCAGGGTCCTACACAGTCCCTGTAGGAAAGAAGTGGCTCCCAGAACAGCAGCAGTCAGAGCTTGGGGCATTCACACCTCCTAACATGGGAAACCTCACGTGGCAGCTCCTTTGCCTCAGCTCCCTGCAGAGCCAAGAGGGAAAAACAGATTCAGAGCAGCTAATCCAGGCTCCTGCTCTGAATTACCCTCTGGAGAAAGGACTTGTCTCCACTGCCAGCACAGGGAGCCTAGCCAGGTAGTCCTGCAGATACACTTTTCTGTGTCCGTGTTTGTATCCAGGGACAAACTTGAGTTACAGGAGCAGAAAATTTGAATGCCAGCCAGAAAACCTGTGAATAGAAACCAAGTGCCCCACTATACACGTTGTGTAGGTACCCTCCACTCCACCACAGATAGCTCTGCAAACCATTTGAGTGTTATTAAAATATGCTGCAGGAAGCACATGTTAAGAAATGTGGACAATTAAGTGAGAAGACAGCTGCCAAACTCCTGACATAATCACCACAACAGATGGGATGTGTTTTACAGTAGATGGAGGAGGGCACAGAGATGAAGTATGGCACCAGTGCAAAAGCAGCCTGAATAGCAAAGACAATAGGGAAAACTCTATTAACAGTTGGGAGTTTAAAGGGAGCTGTCTGCATTTTAAAGGCTATGGGGAATAATTATTAGATTGGCAGCTACAGGATAATGCACACAGTGCAAGGTGCTGCGCTATCTACATTTCTAGAGACAGTTTTCCAGCTTCTCACAATTTTGGCAGAAGAGTCTTTGGCTTGCTCCCTCTGCTGGGCATTGCTCTTCAGTGGCCCACAAATATCTCGCATATCCACCAAATCGCATCTTTTCTGCAAAGCTCGTTCCTTCTCTCCCAAGTTTGCATGTTCTGAGTGTCCTGGTTTCGGCAGGGATAGAGTTAATTGTCTTCCTAGTAGCTGGTACAGTGTTTTGGATTTAGGATGAGAACAAAGTTGATAACGCACCGATGTTTTAGTTGTTGCTAGGTAATGCTTACACTAGCCAAGGACTTTTCAGCTTCCCATGCTCTACCGACTGAGAAGGCTGGAGGTGCACAAGAAGGCTGCGTGGTGCTTAATTGCCGACTGAGGTTAAACCACGACACTGAGACACATGGATCTTCCCCAGCAAAAGCTTTTCCTCCTGGAGACAGCCAGCCCTCCAAGCTGCTGTGCTGCTCTCCCTCTCACAAGCCACTCACCACTTTGGTTAGGGAAGGGAAGAATCATCTTTCTCAAAAAAAAGAAAAAGCACCAAATCGCATCTTTTCTGCAAAGCTCGTTCCTTCTCTCCCAAGTTTGCATGCTGAGACACATGGATCTTCCCCAGCAAAAGCTTTTCCTCCTGGAGACAGCCAGCCCTCCAAGCTGCTGTGCTGTTCTCCCTCTCACTCCCTCTCAACCACTTTGGTTAGGGAAGGGAAGAATCATCTTTCTCAAAAAAAAGAAAAAGAAAAGACTCAATTCCTGTTTCTTTGCCTGGAGCTTCTTCCGATTAGCACAGAAACAAAGCTGTTCCACAGGGCACCGTGGGGTCTACCCACGGAACCTCAGTCCCCAGAGCTTCCCTCTCCCAGCTCACAGATGGTGCCTTCCCAAACCTTCTGCCTCACTGATGCAAAGAGCCCCTTCACTGCCTTCTCTACTCCTTACAGAGGCATCTACGTGTATTTGGCAAAGCAAGAAACAGGCTGCTTTCCTTCCTGAATCTCCCTTTTGTCAGTCCTTATAGAATTGGCTCTGGCTTAACTTTGCTGCAGAAGCTGAACTTGCTTGTGAATGAAGCCTGAAAAAAGCAGAACAGGTGCTGGGCTGGAGGTAGGCAGGTGGAGGAACAGTAGGTCCTCAACAGCACTCACTGCTTTTTGCCTACAATCATGCTCCAGCTCTGTGCAAAAAAAAAAAGAAAACCACAAAAAAACTTCAGTTAAGAACAGATTGGAAAAACTGAGCACATTTGGATTCTAAAAGCACCACAATGACTCGCACACGAGCCATCCAATCTCACAGATGTAAAATGAATACTGATTGCACACTGGGGTTGTGGATGCCCTCGCATTCAGAGACACCTTTCTGAACAAGCATCTGTCTGGAGCACTGCAGGGCACGAGGACAGCACGAATGAAAGGGTCTCAACATCCAAAGCAATGCCGTTCCTTTGCTTGTGTCCCTGGCTGGATGTCCTCGGAGGGTACCTGCACTGATGGGGCACAATAAAAGACCATTCAAGAGAATCACTTCATTGACCTCCAGTTGCTCAGTGCTTGCTGGGAGACTGGGGAAAAAAAAAATCCCAGGATGTCTCCTGCGGTTTGCCAGCTTCACTTCAAGAGAAGTGAAACTACAGAATGGGAACATGTCCTGGCTTCGGCAGGGATAGAGTTAATTTCTTTTCTAGTAGCTGGTACAGTGTTTTGGATTTAGGATGAGAACAAAGTTGATAACGCACCGATGTTTTAGTTGTTGCTGAGCAGTGCTTACACTAGCCAAGGACTTTTCAGCTTCCCATGCTCTACCGACTGAGAAGGCTGGAGGTGCACAAGAAGCTGGGAGGGGGCACAGCCAAACTGGCCAAAGGGACATTCCATACCATGGGACGTCATGCTCAGT